AGAAGCTAAAACAAAAACAAAAGAAAGAAGAAAGTGAAAAGCTTAGATACACATCGAGATAAATCTGGAGAAATGAAAAAAATGATCCCATCTTCGTCCACCAGGCTTTTCTCTCCTGTTCCTTTCAATCACAGAAATTCAAAAACGAATTTCATAGGCACTGAGCCTAACTCTGAGATTCAAGAATGTCTCTTCTAGCATTTGAGATTAAGAAAAGATCAAGCTTGCTCTCATCACCCATGGTAGTCCACAATTTTCAAACTTGTTGCCAAGAAGATGAAGTTTTCAATTAGAGAACTCTTGTGGTTTTAGGATTTCGTTATTTTAGGAAGATTTGTTAGAATTAATATGTTAATGAATCTGCAAATCAGTTAGAATTATTAATTAAGCCTAAATTACTCCTTTATTTAAGGAAATAGGTTATTCAATATTATTAAAATATGTATCTCTTTAATTCAAACCGTCGGATACATGTATCTCGCGAGTAATGATACATGTATCTGACAGACAAAATATGGTATAGGATGTAATTATTGAAACTATCTTGAATTCTAGTAATTAGGTCCTAAACTAGTGGGATTTATGTAGTTTTCCCTAATAAATTTGTATTGTTACTTCATATTTGAGTGTAAATATAAATCTAAAAATTGTCTAAACATCTCATAATTTTTATATAACGGATAAATATATTAATTGACTGATGATAAGATAATCTAAGAAGGCAATAACTGAAGGATCAAAAGTTCATTCATCTCAAATAAGCAATATTCTGATATGTAATCTAATCGGGCCGGAAACGCCCAATAATCTATATAGTGGGCCGCTCCTACCTTGGGTGATTTTCTGGTTTTGGGCCCAGAATTGTATAATCAAGTTTTGTCCCGATAATAATGGGCTTACAGCCCAACTTTTCTTATGGTTGGGCTTACAGCCCACTTCATATATAAGATATTAAAGAAGAGGAAAAATCACACCATATACACATTTAAGAGACAATTCTTACTTATAACAGTTTATTTACGGGTTATAACATATCAATTAAATTTAAGTTTATTTAAAAATTAATTACAATTTAATTTAATACTCCCTCCGTCCCATTTTATATGAGGTACTTTGACTCGGTACGAAGTTTAAGAAAGAAAGGAAGACTTTTAAAACTTGTGGTCCAAAATGAATGATAGAAATTTGTGTGGCTGTAAATCATTTCATTAAGGGTAAAATAGATATTTTATAGTTAGATTGTTACTTTATATAGAAATGTGTCATTCTTTTTTATACTGACTAAAAAGGAAAGTGAGTCATATAAATTGGGACAGAGGGAGTAAATGATTAATCTCTTTATATTTTTATATTATTAATTTTTAATAGTTAATTAATTTGATTGTAGTTCCTTTTTTAAAACAGAAATTATCAGTTACACAAATTTAGGGATTTACATTGATTAGAGTTCCTTGATTACCGTTACACTCCAAACCTCCCATACGTTAATCCCACCCCACCCCCCATGCCTATCCAATACTACACGCCACCACCCCACTACCTCACATTCGCAATCGTCCCTCCCATCTTTCTCACCACTCCACTACCCCAACTTCACAATCACTCCTCTCGTTCTGTTTCTCATCATCATCATGTCGAAGAAAATCATTGTAACGCCTCGAAAGAGTCCTCGATTAGTTGAAGGAAATTTTACGGATGAAGTACATGCTCTAACTTTCAACATATTGACTCAAACCCCGCTGCCAAAAAATGTTGAAACTCCGGCAAATGGTGGTTTCTTTCACTTGAAGGATCAAAAGGAGGAAAAAAAATGAAGCAAAGAAAATGGTCTTGAACCGAAAACTGAACAAAAACACTCTAAAAAAAAACGTTGTATCCTCTGCCTCCAAAACGTATTCCCAGCTTTTAGTACTAGTGCTCAAGCCCCTTTTTTTTGAATTGTTTTTGCTAAAAAATGAAAATCCAACTCCAAAAGAAAAACCTCTCCCCTCATACTGAAACTGTAAAGCATTATATATAAGGGAGCTAGGGTTCGATTTCAAGGGGAAAGGGCTGGAAAAAAAATCGGGTGCAAGGCCCATTCCAAATTCAAAAATCAAAATCGAAAATCTTTCACAAATTTAGGGAAACACCCTTTTTTGAAGCTTCGTCCCCATTCCGAAAGAAGAAATGGGGACAGACGCGTGCTGCTTTTCTCTGCTCAAAATGTACGACAGAGAGGGACATGAAGAAGAAGACAAGGAATCGTACTGTACGCATTCCTCACTGTTGCTCTCCGTGTAAACTCCGTGTATTGCTCCGTCAGCTTGTGAACGTTAGAGCATCGTTGTAGGCATTCCGCGATTGACGCCGCTTGCTCTATTTTTCACGTCGCCTGTGATTGTTGTTGCAACTTTAGCCTTAGCGTGGAGTGTTGCTGATGGGTTTAATTGATGGGAAAGAGAAGTGGGCCGAGTCAGGGGTTATTGGGCTGGTCTGGATGGGATGAAGAGTGTGGGCTACTGTAGTTAGGAATTAGGATTAGAAAATGGGAAATTTTGGTGGGCTGGAACGTGTGAAATGGGCATGTTGAATATTGGTTTGGAAGGGCTTATTTATGTATTGCTAAATATTGGTTAAAGATGACCCATTTAGGATTTGATCAACTTAGATTGAAAAGAAGATAGCCAAATTGCCTTACTAATTTACAAAATTTGGCTAAAATCTAGATAAGACGAGTTAATAGTAATTAATTAACGAGTTTCTTAATCTTAACAACAAAATAATCAACTTACTTATAAAATAATTAATTTAAATACGAACTAATTAATTCGGAAAACTAAACTATAATCCAAACTAAAACTAAATTAGTAAAATACTTATTTAAATCAATGTAGAACTCTTTTCTACTACAACTTTCAAAATATTTGTAAGACATAGTAAATACCTATATGATTATACGAGATATAGTTATTATTCAAAATACTATAAAGATCGATTGAAATTACTTAAAACAACCTTGAAACTAATTTGAATTATATAAAGTTAATTATTCTAAATCGTTCGAAAGATTAAGAAGCTCGTGAATTAATCTATCGGGGAGGGTCAAAATTGGGTGTCAACAAATATATTTTTATTTTATTGTATAAATTTCACTAGGAGCTATTTATTAGGTACAATTTAGTTTACAATATTACGAATTTTATTATTTGGTATATTCAGATACGTCAGATACATATATCTCAGTATACATGGAGTCAAAATTAGGATGTAATTTGTTCTAGATACAATATCGTCTAAATTGATTCGCATGTATCTGAGATACGTAACAAATCTCGCTCACCTCTCTCTCATCTCGCTCGCCACTCTCCTATGTATTTGGTATCTCATATACATGTAAATCACACAAGATATATACAGATACATATATCTAGTGTGTCTCTAGTATGATTCTCATTTATCTGGGATACATAACAAATCTTCCTCACATCCCTTCCTATTTGGTCACCTCTCTCCATATTTTTAGTGTATCTGATAGTAAAAATACATATATCTAGATATATTTTTCTTAGTGTATGATAGAAAACTCTTAATTAATTATAAAATATGTAATATTTTCAAAGTATAGCTAATAATAGTATATATGATAGAGGTATGTTTAATTATATAGTTATTTGTTTATTTTATTTGTAATATTAAATAACATATCTTATTTTTAAAATATTAAATTCATAAGAATTAGAATGACAGTTTCCACCTCTAGATGATATCAAATGAGTGACTATTTAAATCGTGATTTTGAGCATAAAGATTCGATCTCATCATTTGAATGATTTGATTTACAAGAATGAACAAATGATATGTGAAACTAAAGTCAATGGCTTGATCAGCCATCCTTGATTTCATTCATGTATGAAGTTTGAACAGAATATACGTACTGATTTTGTGAACCTACAGTTTACATTATAGTCCGCCTCCCCCAGTAGATTTTTGAACCCTCTTGTCAAGTTGCTGGGAAAAAAAAAAAATATATCTCTAAATTATCATAAATAATATATAGATATTCTTCGTTATATCTTTGGGATATTGGTGTCTCTGTCGTCGAAAAATTAGAGCATATATACCATTTATACTAACGGACATACACGTGTCATAATTTTATCCATCGACCTGACATTTATTAAATATCAGATTGACGGATCACATACGAACCAAACAAGTCGATTCACATGTATCTTAGTTATATAGCAAATTTTGTTGGTCACTCTCTTATGTATCTAATATTTCAGATATATATGAATCATATTAAATACATATATAACAAATTCGCTCGCCTCCCTTTCTATCTAACTTGTCTCTCTCCTTATTTTAGTATATCTAATAGCAAAAATACATATATCTAACTATATCTTAAAACAATTTAATTTATGAAAAGATTCATAACATTTTAAAAATATATGTAATAATTATTTGTCTACTTTTGAATTGACACACATATTAAGAAATCAATAATTGAGGATATAATATGTAATTTTTTTTGTCTTTTCTTGATTTGTCAAAATAAAAAAGTAATTAGAAACAACTAAAAAAAAATTAGACAAATAATTAGAGACGAATGGATGAAATATCCAATTACATAGTTTCTCGTAAAAAAAAACACATAGATTGGTCAAAAGAAGGGGCCGGACGTGATAACTCACGTAACCAATTTCGACCCAAATATCTCTATGCCCATATCCGTACACTCACATCTTCCAAAAAATCCAGCTGTCAATTACTTACTTTTCCAAAAAATTCCAAAATCCAACGGCTCATATTCATCCTCACAATTTATTTATTTTTTAAAAAAATCCTAAAATTTCTCCCATCCCCTAAATTTCAACACCAATAAAAAATTCCAAACAACAAATTCCCCTTGTTCTCACATAGTTTTAAATCCTCTCAACACACACAAACTTTTCTCAGATCTCAAAAAAAAAAAAAAAAACCATTTCAACACAAGCATAAACAAAAAGAGATCCCAAATACTGAATCCATTATGGCGCGTGAGGAGAATGTGTACATGGCGAAGCTTGCTGAGCAAGCTGAAAGATACGAAGAAATGGTGCAGTTCATGGAGAAAGTTTCAACTTCATTAGGCTCAGAGGAACTCACCGTTGAGGAACGGAATCTCCTTTCCGTTGCTTACAAAAACGTTATCGGGGCTCGTAGAGCCTCGTGGCGTATTATCTCTTCCATTGAACAGAAGGAGGAGTCGAGGGGAAATGAGGAACATGTTAAATGTATAAAGGAGTACAGATCTAAGATTGAATCTGAACTTTCTAATATTTGTGATGGAATTCTCAAGCTCCTTGATTCTAATCTCATTCCTTCAGCTTCTAATGGCGATTCTAAGGTGTTTTACCTTAAAATGAAGGGTGATTATCATCGTTATTTGGCTGAATTTACGACCGGAGCTGAACGTAAGGAAGCTGCTGAGAGCACTCTCTCTGCCTACAAAGCTGCTCAGGTATACCACATTTATTCTTATGTGTTTGATCTATTAGATGAAATGATGAAGATTCATGGATCTATTAGGCAATTTGTTAATAATATCTGCATAATATGATTTTCCTAATCGGATTTTTATCTAAATTTTAAAATAAATTGTACATGTAAATTAGGTGAGATCGTAGGGAGAAGACTGTGGAAACAATTTCCTGTTTTGACCAGACACAAATCACAATTGGTTATTTCAAATTTTCCATTCATGATGGTCTCTCCGTCTTAATTGGGACGTAGAGAAGTTGTTTACTATCTTTTGATACATAAGCTTAAATATGTCTAACAAATCATAAGTATCTTTAGAGGTGTGTACCACCTCCAAAAAGAAAGTTCCTAACAATTTGAGACGAAGGGAATATATGTTTGTCCAGATCAAGACATATTTTTCAGAAATGGGATGTTAAGTGTGTCTTGAATTAAGAGTAAATTGACTTAATTCTCTGAACATTTGAAATTGGATACAGAATTATCAAAAGGTCACAAATGATCCTCGATTAATTAGTCGTAAACATTTTAAGCAGCAGTATTGAATATATGTCTTTCTAGCTCAGACCATATTTATTGTTTCCATGTTCCCAGAGATCTGATGTTAATTAAGTTTAGATTTAAGTTTGAATTAAGAGTATGTTAATTTAATTCCCTCAACCTTTTAGATCAGAGAGATAATATCCCCTGGTGAATTGGATAAAGAACACTTTTTTACCTCAAAACAAAGGCCAAATGAAATAATCATTGATGGAATTTCAAAAGGTCACAGGTGATCCTCAGTTAATTGGTAGTACTGTGAATTATGACAAGTACTTGTTTTAAGCAGTAGTATTATATATAAATTTAAGCTTTATACCTCTTGTTTTTCTCCTTTAAGTTCACGCGATAGCCATGAAAATTTCTTTCCCTCTTGATATTTTTCTAGAATGAGTGATGTTAAATGTTGTTGATCTTTATGTGTCCTCATTTTGGTCTCAATGCCTGCAGGATATTGCAAATACTGAACTTGCCCCAACACATCCAATCCGACTTGGACTGGCTCTCAACTTCTCTGTGTTTTATTATGAGATTTTGAACTCTCCTGACCGTGCTTGCAATCTTGCTAAACAAGTAAGGATTTCTTCGTATGGCCCAGTCAATTCTTAGTTGCAAATTATGTTTTTCAGTTCAAACAAGGGCGTTTCTTTAGGCATAGATAAATTAGTATCTCTTTTTTTCATCTCGACTGTGAAAAAGTACCTTCATTTTCATTTTGTTATCTTTTTGCGTGGCCAGGCATTTGATGAAGCAATTGCCGAGTTGGACACACTGGGAGAAGAATCTTACAAGGATAGCACTTTGATCATGCAACTTCTTCGTGACAATCTCACTCTCTGGACCTCTGATATGCAGGTAATTAACTCAGTTGTTGTTCTAAATAGCTTTTGATTTATGTTGTTTCCTTGTAATCTATCAGTTGTATAACTCGAATCACATGTTTGATACACCTGTCTCGATTGCAGGATGATGGTGCTGATGAAATTAAGGAAACCAAACCCGACAATGAACAACAGTGAGGGAACTGGTCCTCAGATTATCATTTGACTTCTTCCTGGTTGTTTTTAATGGGAGAAGCTGCTTCTTTTTATTTCCTTTCTCCTGTGTTTCGGGTTTCCCTTTAGCGTTCTCTTATCCATGGCAACGAACAACTTTGAATATTGATGTTCAATTGTTTCATTTTACTTTAATGTGGTTCTTTCTGGTGCTTAGTTTCTATGAAAGCATTTCAGTTGTATTTGTGAACTGGATTTATAAAATGGTATATCAAAGTGATACTCAGCAATCGGGTTTCAATCAACCTTTCTTGTTACATTTGATCCTTTCTCTTGTTCTTTTTCCTTCTTAACTTTGGTTATGATACATAGGTATGGTCTATTAGACCATCTCCAACCCATCTCTATTTTACTCTCCATTCTTCATATTTGGAGAGTAAAATAGAGAATGAGTTCTCCAACCACTCTCTATTTCACTCTCTATTCTTCAATTATAGAGAGGTGAATAGTAG